GGGATAAATATGAAGAAAAAAAAAAATTTAAAAAACATAAGTAAAACAAAACCCCCTCCATAAACTCTTTTTAGAAGATTTTCAAACAAAAATGACCGTGTTTTAAAACTTCAAAGCTGGTTGCAGCTTATGGAGTTGGGATGGTGCAAATATTACAATGTTAGCGTGCATGGACCCAGAATTCACCTGCAGGTACTTTCAAGTGGCTTCAAAAAGATTGCTGTTGGTGAGGGTGGGCCTCTGAGTGACTTCCAGGACTCCCAGCAGATCAATCCCAAGCCAGGGCAAACTGGTCCAAGAGACCCTCCCATCACACGTGGTGTGGGAATTCAGAGCCTGGGGATTATGGACTGTTTGAAATTTGAATGGCGATATTCCCTTCATGAACGGCTGCTAAATCTCTTTCTTTGCTTTATTGTGTTTGTTTGGGAAACAGTCAACCTGTCCTCTTGAGAAAATATGTGCGAAAAATAGGCTGCTCTTGTGTTAGTACTGAATAAATGCGAATCACTTCTCGTGTAACGTGACTGTGGAGAGGAGTACAGCAAAGCTTTCCTGCCTCAGAGTCACTACAGTGAATTCTACAAGATAAATTCTTCACTTTGCTAAAAATTATGCATTATAGCGCTTTCAGTAGTTATATTTTTAGGTTTGGGAATAGAATGTTTTACTCAGAGGTGTTCTGCCCTTTGCAGAAAATGTATAGCGATGGCAAGGGTGTAAGGGTTTTTTGTTTCTGTTTTTTTCATAAACAAAGCTTGCATCCAAGTGTGAGGTTGTGCTTCTTGTTTTTAAAAGTTCGAACAGATGGAAAGTGGATGGAAAAAGATTGAAAGCATTAGAGGAAAAGCTGATGGGGTGTCACATGACAACCAGGACAACAATAAAGTTCCTATATAATATGAAATATTCACTTAAGTATATAAAAATGCTTGCTACAAAGGAGAGATTATTCAAACTGAAGTTTTAGGAAGATTCCTTCAGTAGTACTATATAGCTTCACTTCAGTAAGATTTTGCCTGCATCGAAGAGCAGCCCTTTCTATAGCAGTGAAATGGGTTTTAACGAATACTGCTATTTATGAAATGTCTAATCTGATATATATAAATTATTTTAATATAGAGACTTTGAAGTAATTAAACTGTGAAACAGGGAAGCCTACCAGTAAATTAGATAGCTTTGCTGAAAGAATACCTGTGTTCCTATGTAATATATTCTGTAAGTACATTTCTACTCCTTAAATCTATTTAAAATCTAAATCTAAATCTAATCTAAAACTTCAAAAACTGGGAAATTTATAAAATGACTTTAGAAGACTTTTCTCATACCCACCATTTTGTTTGGTTTATGTATCCTTTGAGAAAATATTCAATCATTTATTTGAGCAGAAAGCAGGTAAAAAGATAGTTAACTGATGCTTCATTTAATTAGAATTTTATATTGACATAAAATCACATAATTAGTTTTTTATTTAAAAGTGCCCTATAGCTGTGACAATCATGGGATGATATTTTTTAAATTACTGTTTAGCTGTCTGACTTATAATTAACTGTCTTCTCAGCATAAAATATTAAAACATTTAAAAAAATGACTATTCTCCTCTTTATGTGTTGCATAATATTATCTCATGCAGAAATAGTATGAAGAGTGTCTTATATTTCACTGTGAAATAAGTTTTCACTCAATCTCTAGTTTGATTGCTTATTAGAGGGACACTTTCTTTCCCGATTTTTGGTTTAGCTCCTAGAGCATAGCAATGAGGGTATTACTAGTCATAATTAATATAGAAAATGGTCTTTTTAGGAATTTATTGATGGATTATTTGGGGGTGGGGGGCTGGGTTTTGTTTTATTTAGCAAAACCAAAAAATTAGAGATGGACTGAGCAATACTAAACAATTTCTTATTATCCAGTAAGGCGTATTGTCTAGAATACTAGAAGAGAAGTAATAGGAAAAAGTTTCGACTTTCTGATAATCTCACTGTTCCTTTTAAAATGTAGTTTCCAAACACCTAATTTTTTTCACGGAAATATCACCACAAGCTGACATAATTTCATGTGCTCTTCTTTTATCTTCCAAAGCTTCAGTTTTATGATTTACAATGTACTTTAGTTACTTAAGGAAGAGTGGTATTTTATTCTGTTTTCTATGGGAAAAGATCTTTGCAGGATTATTTATTGTGCTTTAGGAGAACTCTTTTGAAATAATTTGAATGGTTATTGTGAAGGTGTTCTGTCCATTACTGGGAAATAACTTTACATATCCTTCCTATGACTTGCATAAATCCTGGGCACATTTGTTGCCTGTGAATGTGGCATTAAGGTGGTTCTTAGAGCGTTCAGCTTCAAGTAGCAATGCAGCAATGGTCTAGATTAAGGATATTATTGTAGCCTGCACATATATAGGTGCCGAGAAAAGCACATCTGTAAAACTGTTGTGTCCGGGTTATTAGAGCTAGGATTTGAACTATCTTTAATCTCATTCGACTTGTTCATCTTCCTTAAGGAGCCCCATAAAGATGCGCTGAGTATTCTTTTCAGTCCTTAGTTAGGGTTTGCATCAGTGGTCGTAAACCTACTTAAGGGACAAAGACTTGGTTCCCTTTGAAGTCACTTCCCCAGGTTTTCAAAAGGTCTGCAAGCCTCTTCCCCTAAAACAATTCAGAAAGGTTTGAAGTGGTGCCCCTTAAACCAGCAACAAACTAAAATTTTCTCTTTGCATTATTGAAAACCATGACAATCTTCTGAAGCAATAACAGTTTAAAAGCTTTTAAAGAAATCTGTTCTTCTCTACGATCTGCTTTTGAGTTGACCTCATTATTTGGCAAATCAGAGGCTTGGCAACCCCTAAATACTTGACGTTCTTATCAAAGGAGTGAGCCTGACTTTTCACAGGACTTTTGTTTTACAGTATTTATTCAATGCTAATTTCCTAATTCCTAATTTCTTTAAAGATACTATTCAGATTTCTTTTTTTCCTATTTTTGCTTTGAAATATTTCTTTTATAATAAAAATAATTTAGTAAACAGATGAATTTAAGAAACGTAGACCTGATCACCTCTAGACTTATTCTATTTGAAATCTCACATGAATTAAAAAATACACACTGTTTACAAAAGTCCCATTTTCTGCAAAAGTCCAATTTTCTGTGGATTGGGATCAATATACATGCTCATTTTCTTTTTTTTTTCTTTTTTTTTTTTAAAACAAGTAACACATTGTGTGTGTATTGTTACTTACATCCTAAAGTAGGGGAAAGCCCGTAGGAATTTAGTTGCTGTAAAGAAGTAAGTATGATACAAGAATTTTATTTATGCGCACCTCCTAACAATGCTTATAGGCACTTCAAGCTTAAACATCTTATACTACTTACCTTCAAGGCATTGTCTATTTGAAACAGCTTTGATTTCTAAAGTTTGAAAAGGATACTTTTTCATTAACATGTGCAGAATATAATTAGATAAATTCCTTGCTGATCTGTGCAGCAGAGATCTGAGTGCTAAATGCAATTTTTGGAAGCAAAACAAATAATAAAACGAGAATTCTAGACTCTAGCTCCAAGTGGCCATTTGAACACAACAGCTACATTGACATTCTGGGAGTTATTGCAAATGATTCGAGTAAAAATGTAAATTATTGTGAGTAAGCCCAATTCCGCATTTCTTCTTCCTAAAAGTTTCTCGCTGCACCTATGCCTGATCTGGGAAGTTAATTGTGTTAATATTTTACAAAATTTCTAATCAGACACAGTATTAATGTTGCTAGTACTGATATGACTCCACACAGATAAATTAGTGTGGTTGCGCTAATTTTAGCTTTTAAAAAGTTACAACTTAAAATGTAATTTGAAAAATGCTACCTTAGTAGCATATGGAGTCAGTTGGCCCTATTATTGCTATGTCTTATCAAAGACCTTCTCCTGTTTTTGAAGTGAAATAATAAGTGATTTTACCACTACTTTGCTGCCTTTTTGACATCTCACAGAAGTCTCAGCATCATTTATTTTTAAGTGAAAGTGTTTTCTCCTGCTTACAAATTTGTCTAATCCTTTTTGCAGCTACATAACATTGCTGAAGATGCATTCTTCAGAATTCTAGTGCTTCATAAAATGTTATGAATAAAATAAGTATATGGCAATACAGAAACAACATTGTGCTGTCCATTAAATGCTAGCACTTGCAAAATGGGTGATCCAGGGAATGATGCATTGAAGGTATAAAAAAAGCTAAAAAGATTCATAGCATATGTTTGCCCTTTCTGTATCTTTGTCTTGAAGAATAATAAAAAAAGAAATGGTTTATTCAGATGTGCCAGTTGCATAATTTCTCTTTCATTGTGGTATCCATATATGTTTTTTGGCAATCTTTGGAAAATACTCTTTTGTTTGATAGTTCTTGTTCAGGGAACTGTCTAACAGGAACAGCAGTAATTAATATCGGGTTATTTTGATTTTGCACATTCCTCCAAAATTTATATTGACTGTGTTCCAAACTTCACTTTTTAGAAGTGACATCATAGTGAAGTTTTATCACTGTCGCTAGATTAAAATGAAATCACACAGCTGATATTTTACTTCATCTTGGGGCTTTGTAGTTTCTTCTCAGTATTTCTCATGGAGAGGTTTGTGTTTAGTTATGCTTCTTACAGAAAAAGGTAGTAACTGAATTAACCTCTTCCTGCATCCCTGCCACCCACTTCTACTCCCCTTCCCCGCCCCCCCCCAAAAAAAAAGGAAAAATAACTTGTCCTTGTTTTTACTATACACCACTTTTATATGAATGCTTGTTAGTAAATGCACAGGCTGAATTTCTATAGCCTACTGCTGCTGTACTATACAGATAAGAGTGCAACCTGACCGTATGCAAACAGGAGCATAGAAATGATTTGCAGAGACTGTAAGGTCCAAGAGCAAGGAAACTAACGATGCTTAAGTGATGGAAAACATGTTTTTTGAAGTGGATTGTACCCAAGGATTGCTTTTATTGTTTTTTCATTGAAGGTGATTTTGCAACTCCTCGAGCTATTTTGACAGGACATGACTATGAAATCACCTGTGCTACCGTTTGTGCTGAACTTGGCTTGGTAATAAGTGGTTCAAAAGGTGAGAAAGCTGTTGTCTTATTTTTACTCATAAAGCCATAGAACTAATGCAAAATGAATATAGTCTTAGGTGGTAGAATTTATTTACTTCGGTTATATTTTTAAATTTTCTTTTAGTTGCTGCAGAACTTGAGTGAATTTGAAACCTCTTTTTAAACATGTTAGAACTGAGGGTTATTCAGTCATCCAGGAGAAAGAACAGATCATTACGCAACCACATCAATTTCCCTATTTTAGCTTTTGTTTGCTTATGCAGCCTAATTGCATGTAGCATACAGTTGGATCCAACTCTTGACTGCCAGTATGGTCAGGAATGTACTTCTGCAGTCAGGTTTGTTTTTGTTATAGATAACTCCTCAGAAAGAAAAGCAAGAATTAGTTTCAAGAGAAAGTGCTGTTTAGTTTGTTTGATGAAAGGCATATATATGCTCCCCACTAAATTTGGTAGGAATTCTGCTTAGGGTTTTTGAGTTTAGCTACAGAGCTATACGACAGTTGTATTCTCCTTAAAGACCTGCTTTTCCCAGGCAGCCTAGAAAGAATGGCTTTGATTGCACAGATACTGTTTATTTTATTTCCTTCTTTGCTGACCTTCAGTTATTTTTAATTGGAAGTTTATTAGAGTTAGGATCTTTCTCCCTCAGTGTTTCCAAGGTTCCTACTTTGGGACCTTTCCAAAGAGGGGTGTACTTAGTGTATTCAGCCATGTCTATTTCTATTTGATATACGTGAGCATTTGTGGCTTACACAGAAATCAGGTATTTGTCCAAATTTATTAAGAAGCAACTGCTTAGTTGATCATATATGGATTAAAATCTTTATTAAGAATATGTGTGAAAGCTAAGACTTTCAGAGTACACACATAAATTAATTATACTTACATCTGTGAGTCTTCATATTCTGAAATCTTATTTAAGAATTCAAAACAGTAAATACACTTATTTTTCTGCACTCAAAATTAACTACTACCAATTTTAAAAGGAAATCCACAAAAGAAAAAAATTAAAAGGAAATCCACAAATCTTTATTAGATCTTTAATTCTGTTAGGTGCTCTAAAATGCCTTTAATACAAAACATTTAAGGAATAAGCTGTTCTCATTATTCTGACCCTCATAAGCATTCCACTTAAAGATGGTAAAAGGGAGTATAATGTACTATAATAGTGATTACTTAAGGAGAAACTATTGCTTATTATTTGTTATAGGATGCCTTTAAATGAACTTGTAAGTCAATAATTAAACTTAGTACCTTCACTTAGCAACTGTTATTCTGTCTCTTTAGAAGGACCATGTCTCATACATTCTATGAATGGAGATCTACTGAGGACATTAGAAGGTCCTGAAAATTGCCGGAGACCAAAACTTATTCAGGCTTCAAGAGAAGGTCACTGTGTCATATATTATGAAAATGGCCTCTTCTGTGTATTCAGTGTGAATGGGAAGCTTCAAGCCACCATGGAAACAGGGGACAACATAAAGGTGAGTGCATGAAAATGTGTGCTAAGGACTGTAAGCTTCAATATCAGGAAAAGCCCCCTGCTTTGGAGTTGCGTCAAGCATCTTTCTGTAGCCAGGCTATAGATATATGTGGTACTAGACCACAAGAGTGGCAGTTTGGGGGGGGGGAGTGAGCGGGTATTCTTAATAAGGTTACTTTAGTTTTGGAATAACTCTCCATAGGCAGGAATATCATGTAGGCGTTTCCTTGAGATGAAGGATGCAAATATTACAAACTATTCTTCTGGAGCATTCAACAAGCAAGACCAAATTTAGTAGAAACTTAGCAGAAACATGAAACAAGATCCCACTATGGGGCTGGCAGTTGCAGTCCGTCTCGGCAGGACTCTTGGTCTGAGGAGCATCTTTAACATCAGCCAAAGGAAAATGTTGTTTGTTTGCTTTTGTTACTTTATTGCCACGTTACATTACCAAACCTGCATGCTGACTTTCGTAGTCTGATGGCAAAACCCAGTAACTCAGCTGCTGGGGTTTCCAGTCATGTCTTGAAAACTTCCAAAGGTTTCTCCTTTATTTGAATTTCCTGTTTCATGAGGAAAAATGTCTCTTCCTCTTCCTGCACGTTTAATATAATTATTGATTTTTTTTGAAATTCTTTCATATTTCACAGAACTTCTTCTGTGAGAAGTGTTCACATACATATTTTTAAGATGGAATTTTGTCCCCAGAGAGGCAGAAATATGGAAGTATTAGAGAATGTCAGCTTCATTATTTCCATAAGGGGAGCTAGCTTTGTATAGCTCATATTGAACAGTAGACGCTGCTTTACCAATGACAACTGCAGTGTAGTTCTCTATATTCTACTTAAAGCCTTCTAAAACTTCGACACATACTATAGTCTGTTAATCCAGCATCCTTATGTTTTCAAAAGGTCAGATAACGGGGTTGTGGTGGATGCAGAAATCACTGTATGTGCAAGTCTGATAGTGACAAAGCACAGAGATGAGTTGACAAAATCTTTGAATGTTACGGCAGCTGTAAATACAGATTTAAGGAAAATGATGTACATATTTCTGTCCCAAGACATTTTTCCAAATGAATGTAGATTCTTGTTTCAATTTTTAATCTTCCTTCAATTCTCTGAAACTGCCCCTTTGTCTGCCCTTGTCCAAAAGTTTCAGAGATTTTCAGCCTACCCTTCATCCCAGCTCCTACTTGCTTCCTGTAAAGCAAGTACACATCATAGTGGTTTCTCTCTCTTCTCTTTTTGCAATAATAACCTTGATAATCTGTCATTTTGAGTTGTGATTATGTTGTCAGCTCGGCCAGCAAATCTATAAAATATCTAGAAATCTTTCGCTGGTGAAAACAATTTCTGTACTGTTTCAGTCAGTACCCTCCACTCAGGGAACGTTGCCCGCAGCAAGGCAAGTCCCAGTCTCTGCAGACCTGGATTAAAATCCAAGGGTTTGTTTTTGGTTTGCTTTGCTTTGCTTCTGTCCTTCCCAGTGGTCCCAGTTGGGCTTTAGGCTTAAACAAGCTACCACTTTTTTTCCCAGAGCTTCTGTACTGTGTCATGCTAGAAGGCGAGTGGCAACTGCCTGATTAAAGTAGGAGTATTTAAAATGAATAGCACCTACTCACAGGCTGTGCTGGCAAAAGCTTTTCTTTGGTTTTGGTCATGGAAGATAGAAAAGGGAAGGAATAGGCTGAAAGTGTTGGGTGTTTTCACATGTTGTTACATATGGGTATTTCAGAACGTTACTGACAAAACTAGCAGTTTACCGTAATGAAGTTTGGAAAAAAACTCTTTTCCTTTCTTGTAGTCTTGGGCAAGAAAGCTGCTAAAAAGATTTCTGAATGTCTGGACAAATATGAAGTCTGCTGCATGCTTTCCACCTGTTTTTGTTTTAAATACTGTACTGCTCAGTGGAGTTTAGGCATATCACAGTACATCTACCATGTAATGTTTAGATATCTTAATGAATAACTTAACTCTAAGTAGTCTGCTTGTTCTGAGAAGTAAAGTTATTTTAGCCTAAACAAAGACTGTATGCTGTTTCACCCAGAGGAACCAATTTATTTTCTTTTCCTGAGTTTGTTTTGAAATGTGGAAGTGCCCACAAGCCCCTTGTTGCTGTGAGCCAGAGCTGTCACAGTGTCAGCTCTGCCTTTTTACCAAGCACTGCCTTTCAAAGCTCTGAGATGTTATAAGATTTGTGCAAAGATTTCCCAGGAAATATGAGTCAGTAATGCAGCTTTTAGAGCTTTGCTGAAGTTGGGTGCTTTGGGGATCGTTTGCGGATCTGAGCCTTACATTGTGAGAAAGATTAGCCGTGGAGTTGTTTCAGCTTCCGACCCAGTAGAATCCTGGATAAATTATGTTGGGGAAAAGCAGAACAGAAAATTTATTCATGCCTTCTTCTATAGCAGTTGGAGTACAAGCATCTTTTAGTTTGGTAAGGCTTGAAGGGCATGCCATAAAACTGAAATTGTGACAGGGTGACCTTTTTATTTGAATCATTCATTCTTTCATATATAGAGGAAGGCAAATGGTGAGATATTTATTTATAAACAATAAAAGAAACATATCAACATCTAATCTTCTTGACAAGCCAATGACTTTGTAACATTTCATAGGTATTAGCAAAGATTCAAAGCCTATTTAATTAAGAGATCACAAAAATCATTGAATTTTACAGGTAGTGAAAGAGTTAAAGATTAATGGCTTTAATTTGCCTTTTAATATAGCATTTCTCCAGCAAAAGCCTCAAGTATAAAACTGAAGTGAACCATGACCGTAAGGTTAATGGATTTTCATCAGCTGAATTTTATAAGTGTAACAAATAATTATTTGTCATGGTCTTCACTGCAATTTGAAAATACCCTTAGGAGACTACCATTTCTGTAGAGAAAAAATTTATATTGATTTTGCTTCTAATGAATAATCTTTTTAGTAATTGCATGTGGTATATTATATCTTATGATCATCTACTCAGTGCATACATAGTTTTAGATAATTTTCACTGTCTTAGTCTGTTTTCTACCACCTACATAGTGACTGTTGTTAGAGAGTCCCTAAATTAGTCTTCAGGCTACTTGGGGTTGTGATTTGGGAGGTGCTTAGTATGTTTTGGTGGGATGATAAAAACAGTTTATGGTTGGAACATTTTTCTTGTTGTGGAGGAGCTTCAAGCCAGAATACTCAAGTCCAGCCTTGGTTGGTATTTAGCTTTCCATAGTCACATTGATTGAAAAAGACATATTCTGCATTAATGTTTCTAAAATTGTGTCTATCTGTTGTTGTCTTCATTCAAAACACAGCTGAAATAGGTTTATCATGTTTTTTTCAGTGTCACCACACTATTTTGTTTATACTGATTTTCATATTTCAGTTATATTCAGTTATTGGATGGTGTACAATTTTAGCAATGTGTTTCATTCTGGGAACTAGGGAGTTTTTCCAGTAAACACTCAAAACTGATAAGTCGCCTATAGAAAATCTATCTTAATGTATGTGTTGTATATCATAATTTTTAAAGTATATATTTAGCATTGTAGTAGTAGGGTGCAGCAATACAAAAATGCAGATTTGCAGTGTGGCTGACTTAATTATGGCTGTTCATAAGGTAGTATCTATGTGGGCTGTATATTTTGGTTTCTAAACTTGTCAGTAGTCTGTATAAATACTTCAATGTTGTGCAAAAAAAAAATAGTGTTGTGCAAATGTAACATTTTGTATTTTAATTTCCCCCTATTTTTGTGATGCATGCTGTATAAATTCTGTATATTAAAAAAGCAACTACTTCTTCATGAGAAATTTAAAAGCAGAGCATGTTACAAGTTCTGCATATTAAAAAACGGTAGAAGCAGATACTTAAGTGCCACACCATTTGCAGACTTCAGCACAGAGGGCTGTGTATGCAAGGCCAGTCCTCATTTACTTCTACTGTTTCCTAAATTTAAATCTTTGAGCTAGTATCCACCTTCTTGAGGAATATAATCCTAAGGCAATTGCCAGTGTTCCACTTGCAGCAGATTGCATGCAAAATGGAGGGCAGAGAAGGGAAAAAGCCGAGGTAAGCAGAAGAGCTTGAGTCAGGGAGAGAACTGGAGAGAGGCATCTGCCAAGAGGTAGGTTTGGGTTTACAGGATCTTGTAATAAGGGTCTTTCTGGCAGTTTTGATGGTCTCCACCGTGCTGATGGCTCAGGCTGGTGTCATTACATGTGGTGGAATTTGTTTTACTTTTTCAATTTAGAAAAGACAGAAACTGAAAATAACCCTTTAAAACAAACAGCAAGAGCAAGAAGAACAGAATGTGCATTTGTCTCAGATTAGTAATGTTCAAGTTCCCAGGATGAGACTCACAGGCATGAAAAAGCAAATTAAGGTGCATGATCAGGATGTATGGACTAGAGACACAGAAATATATGCTGCTCAGTGAGATATACTAACAATAGTAAAGCCTCCTACCCCCTGGAACCGTAGGTTTGATATATATATATATATATATGACCTATTGTAGGATAAATATGAATTTAAAGGACTCATTTGCTACAGACAGAGAAGCTACATGTTTCTGAAGTTCAGCATAGTTAAAACAAGTAAAGGGCTGGAGCAACCAGTTAGAGTTGGGGGTTCTGAGGCGATGAGGAAGGTTTATGCACTAACGAAGGCAGTGGATAAGGTGAATACACTGTTGCTCACAAAAATGGTAGTTTTTATAACATTTCGGTTCCTGACATCATTCAACCCCAGCCAGAGAGAAGCAAGAGGAGAGATTCTGCTACACTGGTACTGAAAGACATTTAGGAGAATGTAATGTGCTATGTTTTAATGCTAGCACTGCTGACTGTCGTAAATCCAGAGACTCAGAAGAGTGCATTTCTTTAGCTGACCTCATATTAGATATTTGGAATATATAGGTGAGGTGATATTTAGTAGGTGAGGTACAACTTAACTAGTGCCATCTAACTGAGCATGACCACATTAATTCTATTGCTTTACAGACTAACAGCTATTTTTCAAAAGCTTGTATTGGTGCTGCTGTCAATATTTTATGACCGTGGAAGAGGAGGAACCAAAGGAATGCATATTTTTCTGATATAAATGTCCCTGTGATTTCACTGTAGGCGATCCAGCTGAGTCGAGACGGGCAGTACCTGCTAACAGGAGGGGACAACGGGGTTGTCATGGTCTGGCAGCTGTGGGACCTCAAGCAGCTTTTTGCTTACCCAGGGTGCGATGCTGGGATCCGATCAATGGCCCTGTCATATGACCAAAGGTGAGAGCAAAGTCTTCCCAAGACTTTCATAGACAATTAAATTGTACTTTTCTTTTCCTTATGATTTTGATTTTTTCATGGATCACGAGGTTCTGGTGATAAGAATTCTGGGCTTACATACTTTCTAACATCATATTTAGACAGAAACTTGGTTGATGCCTCAGATTCTTGTGGCTATATTGATGCAACTTTTCAGTGCTGCAACTCATGTATGTGTACATGACGTGTGTTACTAACTAATCCGGTGTCGTACTTTCCGTAGGTGTATAATGACTGGCATGGCATCTGGGAGCATAGTGGTTTTCTACAATGATTTCAATCGCTGGCATCATGAATATCAAACCAGATACTGATCTTGAGACAGACCAAGGTCAGCACTGATGTGGGTAGCTGCTGTCAGAGCGCAACTGAAGATGGCAAGCCTCCCTTGGTAGCTTGCCACAGCGTTTTTCCTTATACATAGCTGTATTTCATCTGAATGTAACTTAAATTTGCTGGGAGAAGCAACCTATTTTTTAAAGTTAATTGCTATTTTTGTAGACCTTGCTTGACTTTTTTGGGGGAAGGGCAAAGAAGCAGAAAATGGCTGCTGGGTTCTGTAGTTAAAAAAATCTATATTTTTAGTCATAATGAGAAGTCTATTTTGATCCACATATGAAAAGAAACGTAAAATAACAATGGTTAAAACTCACATTCTAGCTATATTATGAAGAAACAGTTTTTCCATCTGAAGCTTTATGCATAACCTTGAATAATATATGATTTTAATGTAATGGAAATAAATTATGATGTTTCGGGGGGTTTAACCTGTACTGTCTGTATTAGTTTGTCTCGTACTTTTCCAAATGATTGTACTACTTAAGTGCTGAAGTTTCTGGGAATCAGTAGTAATATTTAAATTATGGTTAATGTAATTTTACACATTACAAAGAGTTGTTTCCATCAATGTTACTATTCAAGCATGTTTCTAGACCTAGGCAATTAGTTCCTTTTTAGTTGAACATTTTGTGCATTTGAGAGAGAGGAATCAGCAGTGGAGCTTGTGTTATATCAAGTGTGAATCCCTCTAGTTTTTGCCGGGTATCTCCTCCAAAGCACACCAAAATGTGGATTGTTCCTCAGAGTCAGAAAGGCTATTTGAAGAGTATGAACGTGAATTAGCAGCCCCTACAGGCACATATTTTTAATAGGTGCAAGTACCAAAGCACATGGCTGTGAAGGCCTGGAGAGGCGGAGGGAGCAGCCTGGGCACCGCAGCAGAAGCACCAGACTTGCAGGCTGCTTTTCTGGTTTCTCCCTCAGACTCACCCCCACCACACTGTACGTAGCACATACATACATATTTCTGTGTGTGGCAACAAAATCTTTTATATTTTGCTATCACCAAATCCCGTCCAATCATGTTAAATGATTTTTCTCTTAGGAATTGAAAACTAATTTATACTAAGAAACAATAAGTTATTTTGGTGTTGCACAAATCTACTTTTCTACGAGATTGCTGTGCAGAATTCTGTGAAAATATTTGTGAAAAGAACTGTTATTGTTTTGTAAGTCTGTATTGCATAAAAACCTTCTTTGTAGGTTGTGATCTCTCTGAGTTGAACTTTACATTCCATATCTGTATTGATACCTATGTTTCTGGAGCTGCCCCCTGCAGCAGTTCCTGATTTTCTAAGCATTTAATTACTATCTCTTTAAGTAAAAGATTTGGAATGAGAAAATCCAGTTTAAGTGAAGAAATTAAATAAAATGGCATTTGTAATTGAGAGCTTCCATGGAGTGTAGTGGGTTCTTGTGATTCAAAGTACCTGCAGCGTGGCGGAAGCAGCGGCTCCCTGAGGCACTTGGAGGTGCTTGTGCCGTGGGGGCTGAGCTGTGTGTGCTCTGCACGCCCCCTCGGTGCCGACATGGCCGTGGGGGCATCCGTGCTCACACCAGTACATCCAGGCTGTGCAGCAGCAGGATGGTGATGTGGTAGGTGAGGGCCGTAGCTGCTAGGTCTGTGATAAAGCACCTGGATCACGCGGCACCGTGTGTCGCGCTGAGCCACACGTCCGCAAGCGCAGCAGCAGCTGTCTGCTTTTGGCAAAGGCTTTTGTGGTGAGCGGCTCCAGGGAGCCGAGTGTTTCCTCTCTGGCAGACAGGTGTTTCGCATGTTGGGAGTGCAGCAACCTGCTGTGAGAAGCGAAGCTTTTGCCTGCTGTCCCTCTGAGAAGACCCCTGTTGCTGGACTGCGCGGCAGGCGGCACGGTGAGTAGGGCGCTCCCCTGCTCCAGGGGGCCTGGCAACACCCATGGGCATGGGGAGGGCAGCCCCTTTCCCCAGGACATCTCAGATGTGGTTGCTGGGCCTGCTGCTTGTGATAAAGTAGCAAAAAAAGGGGTCATTTTCCAAGTGTGCCAAAAGGTTCCTTCTGCGGTGCCAGTGGCCCCAGGTGTTATTAGCAGCAGGTGCCGCTCGTTAAGGCACTAACTGCCCAGGGCCCCTTTTGCTTGAGGAGTGGCAGCTGCTCTCTTTTCCAGGGCCTTGTTTCCTCACAGCTTGGAGGGAGAGGTTATGGACGGTGTTCTTGTACGTCGCCATGTGGACCTGCTGACTTGGTGAGTTCTAAGCGCCATTCTGCTGCTGGGGGTTCTGTGGTGCAGGGTGCTGCTGGGGGTTTCTGTGGTGCAGCGTGCTGCTGGGGGTTTCTGTGGTGCGCGGTGCTGCTGCGCGGCTCGGCACGGCGGCCGCGGAAGCAGCTGGTGTGTGCTGGGGCTGCGAGCGCTGCAGGGCCGGGGGCAGGGGCTGCGTGCAGAGCGGCACTTTCCCTGTGGGACTGGGTGCAGCGTGCTCGTGTTGCACAGCTTCTGGGGGCTTGCTGCCCCCCAAGGAGCTTGCTTGGCCTTTCGGGATTACCCTGGGCCTGTTGGGGGTCTCTGGCCCTGCTTGCGTAGCGCTTGGCAGAGGGAGGGTCTGGAAGAGCCTGTGCAATGTGAGGACAACATCAAGGGTCACTACTGTGCTCTGCTGGAGGAGGCTGGTGGGTGCTGCGTGTGTTATGTCCTGCCAAAGTGCCTGCTCACAGTGGCTGCCCGTTGATCTTTCTTTCATGTTAAGGTAGGTCAAAAGAAATAAAAGATAAACAAGAAAACCGCTGCGTGGTAGCTAAATGAAACCAGAGTTGGGCCGTCCTGTGGGTGCTGGTCTAGATCAGTGCAGTGTTTCCCAGATAGGGTTAGGGACACTGGTGTAAATCCAGAGATGAGTCACCCCCAGGCTTCCTGCATGACACAAAGTTATCCAAAATCCAAGGGAGTCTGTATTTTTGTAGATCCAACCTAAGGTCTTTGGTAAGGCGATACATTTAATGATGCACGTCAGTGTTTAGGCATCGTAATTTGAGGCTGCTCTGCAAAAGCTCCGAATGAAAAACTGTAGGAAATTGTTTCTGATTTTGTTTAGTTTACTGAAATCCAACTGCATGTAACCTAAGGCCCTGCAATTGTAAGGTAGGCAGCCTTATGCAGGAGGAGGGGGTAGGAAACATGCAACAGATGTCGAAGGAGCAAATTTTAGCCTGTATTTGTAAATGATTTGTTTTAGGGAAGTTTTGTTATGTGTGTATAAAAACACTCTGTGGCTTTTTATGAGAAGATTTTTCATGACTTCTTACAAAATGAAATTAGGGGAAGCGCAGCTGTGTTCTGCTGTGTGCTCTTCTGCTGCTTTCTGTGATTCTTGCGAAATAAAGGCAGGCCCAATGTCAGGTATGCAAAGAGAAGTGTGTACATAGTAAAGTATGAGGTTATGTGGAAAACCATACCTTGAATTGCATCAATAGTCACCTAATAAAGGCTTTTAGCTGCACCCTGGAAATAACGCTGTATTACACGCAAGCAGGAGCACAAGGAGAAGGCTGCTGTTCCCTGAATGGGTGAAGTTTGAGATACGATCAGTTTCTATTTTCACTTCTGATTTCTTCCCCCAGGTGTTGCTTTGTTTGCTGCTTCCTCAGCTCTGGACCACGAAATACAGGAGCGCAGCCTGGTCCTGCCTGTACCTGCTGCTGTTTGCGGTGGTTGGCAACGCGCTGTGGGGTCATCCCCGGCAGGCCGCCCATAGTGCAGGATGGATGCAAGTGCATTAAAGGTTGGAAAGTTGTGGGTTGATTTTTCCTTTTCTCTTCACAGAACAAATAGGATAAAACATAACTTTGGGGCTTGTGGTGCTGAATTTTATGCTTCTAAGAGATCAGGCCTTATTCAAGATAGCATCTTTTGGAGGGCAGTTGAGGCCACAGGGGGATGATGCCTAGCGTGACAGTACAGCAGTTAGGTAAGCCTAGTATAGCTGTGTCTGCCGGCCCTTCTGCGTTTTTGCCTCGTGTCTGGTGTACCCTGAGTGCTGCTGATCCTCCTTCACGCAAGCCCTGGTAGCTGCAAAAGCGACTTCTGAACTGTGGTCTAAACACCAGGTGGAACACTAGAACCAGTGTCTTTATAAGGGAATTGTTTGTTTACTAAATTGTAAACTTTATTAATTTAAATCAATTGAGAGATATTTTGGAGAGACAGGAATAAATGCAGGTAGTTCCTGATGAAGTTTTGCTTCTCTGAAGAGCATATTCTGCATCAGCCTTGCTCTGTGGCCCCTGCTTCCGAAGGAGAGACTTATGCTCAGAAGTTGAAATTATGTCTGAAAAACATCAAGATGCAGCAAAAAAGATCCTATCCTCCCCCCGCCAGTATAGAAATGTGTTTGGTTTGGTTTGCAAGTCCCAAATGGGTTACTGTCCGCTCTTAGTGTGGGACTCCTCCTGGCCGAGCTTTTTGGTTTTAAAATGAAGCAAAAAGCCCAAGAGAGACCTATTTGTGTGCGTCTTCAGCAGAATCCCTCCCATAATGACTGAAAATAATCCGTCAATTTGCTGATGAGTTTATAGTAGAATTAGGTATTGAAACAGCTTTTGATAGCAATGTGTGCTTATTCTTGTTACGTTATTGGTTTTGTACATTTCTGTTGCTTTGCAGTTGCCACTTGAATGTAGCTTGAAAGAAG